CCTTCGTTGTCTAAGCTTATTTGTCCTGGAACTTGCTCTGTAAACTGACCTTGAGTTTAGAACTGCATGCCTCTGTCTCCTGAGTTCTAGGATTAAAGGTGTGTACTACACCAAGACCTACGCTTTTTCTACTTAGAACTTACTCTGTATCAAGCTGGCCTTGAACTCAGAGATCTGCTTGCCTCTGTCTCCTGGGATTAAACGTGTTTACCATCAGGCCTGGAACTAAGCTTTTCATGGCCACAGTTCCTCAAGATATGGATGAAAATCTTCAATTTCTGGATTGTAGTTCACTCTAGATTAAAAGTCCAAATGAAAACAATAACCAAGTAAACAATAAGCTTAGCTAGGTGGGATCTTGCCCCAAAGTCACCACCCCCTTAATCTGCTCATCACCTTGAACACAGGATGCAGCTCCATTGCACTTTCTGGTGCCCTTTATTACTTGAAATATACATTTTGTACTTTTCCTTTCTAAGCTTGCTATGCTTGATCAAAACACTCCTCGTAAGACTGAACCACCGGATAAAGTCTAAACTAGGCTTTTGAGACTTCCTTTGTCAATGCAATTAATCTGAATCTTCACTTTAGCTTCAGACAGACTCTTCAGACAAGAGCAAAGAACAGCCATGTTCTTCACCAAAATACCCCAAGAACAGTCTCTAGGCCACATACTAACATTCTTCTCCTTTGAGACCTCTTGAGCAAGGCCGCCACAGTTCAAATCACCCCCAACACCAATGTTGTCCATATTCCTTCTAGAATGGCAGATTAAACTTCACTTAAAACATTCCACCACTTTCCAAATCCAAAGTCCCAAGTCCACATTCCTCCAAATAAAAAATGGTCAGGCCTATTACAGCAACACTGCAGTCCCTGGCACCAATTTCTTAGTTAGGGTTTCCATTGCTCTAAAGAGACATGACCAAAGCAGCTCTTTATAAAGGGCAACATTTAACTGGGGCTGGCTTACTGGTTCAGAGGTTCAGTTCATTATCATCATGGCGGGAACATGGCAGCATCCAGGCAGGCATGGTGCTGGAGGAGAGTGACATCTTGTCCAAAGGCATCTGTTCACAGGCAGCTAGGAGGAAGGTCTCAAAGGCCACATCCACAGTGACACCCATCCTCTAACAAGGCCACACTTACCAACAAGGCAACACCTCTAAATACTGCCACTCCCTGGGCCAAGCATATTCAAACCACCACACCCTCCAAATATGCAAAGGAGAAGCAGACTGAACTACATAGGACAGCACCATTCAAATGTAATATGAATACCCTTTGAAGGGAAAGCATTTCTTTCCTGGAGCAGTACGATGTAGTTCTCTCCTGTGGCAGGCTGAAGAAGTTGACATAAACTACTACTATTAATGCAAATAGGCCAGAGGAAGACATCCGTGTAAAAACTTGGCCTTCCCAACAACATGGGAAGACAGTGTTTAACAGTAATGAGGCTGGAGGGTTTCAGCAATATGCCTGTCTGTAGACCAGGGAAGGGACACAGGAGGGGTGTTCACATAGCAAGGCTTCTCTGCTCCATGTCTTTTTCTCGTGGCTTCCTCTGGTGGATTCTCTGAACAATCTGGCTGCCATCCCTCTATTCATGTAAGGATTAGTAATTTATACATCTGGTTGGCAGTAGCAGAGATCTGAGGCTCTAATGGGTTTTGTAACTTCCTACAAATAAAACAGTTGAGGCTAGCAAGCCAGTGGGCTTCACAAAGGAAAAACAATTTCATGCAGAAGGTTAAGAAAATATAGAAAGATATAATTCATAAGGAGTCTATACTGCCCTAAACTCAAATCAAACAATCATGGCTACTGCAGAAAGAAGAGAAATGACTTCAACCCTATTTGTTAAAAAGAAATAATGTTATATTTAAAAAAAAATTCTGAACACAGACTGTTTTCAATTTTAAAGCATTTCTGAAGTAATGGAAGTGCACCTTCCTAAAGCTTTGAAGAAGAATTATTTTAAAGCATAACTTATCATAAGTGAGCACAGTATTTCTCTCCTAATCTATATCACATCTATGTGACAGTTTTAGTTTTAAATGAAGCAGTTTTCTCTTCCTTCAAGGGATCTATATTCATTAACGTGAAGACTTTAAAAATAACTTGGTATCAATGATTTTTTTATAATGCTAAAATATACTTTGTACAAAAAACATTACATTTTGCTTTATTGTGATCTGATTTTTAAAATGAGATGATTGGGAGTTTGTATGCAGAATCCTTTTACTTCTCTGGCTCAGCATCTGGAAGTATTTTCCAAAGTCAGTCATACTAGACAGTTAATTCAAACAGCTATGAGTGCCTACAGGTGATTTAAACTAGCACCCAAGGTCAACTTCCTCGGGGCCACACAAAAGGTTCAGGCACATTCTCTGAATTACGTGCAGCACAACTGCCCTCTAGTTCCATGACGGAAAGGCAGCTTTTAATAGAAATGTAGGTGCACATGTGAAAAGTACAGCCGAGAGTGTCTTTGCGCAGCCTGGGTCATCCTGACCGAACCACACAAAGGAGCTGGTTTCAGGGCTCTCAGCTAAAGAGTCAGAGCAAGCTATTCATTCAACTTGTTGACATTTTAAAGTCTAGCTCTCTAAAATGGACCGCAGCTGATAGTAAATCATAGAGGAAATAGCTTGAGTCTCTGGGCCTGGACAGCACCATGCCAGGAAAATACCACTCGACTGGGAGTCAGGTAGATGACAGGGCGTGGGGCAGGGGGGTGGGAGGGGCAGGGGGTGAGGGTGTTCTTCACACTGATCAATCCCAGCTAAGTCATAGAAATGCTAAAGTAAAAATCAACAAACTACTTTGGTAGTACAAGAAAAGGACAGTCAAGAAAAAATTTTATATATATATATATATATATATATATATATATATATTTACTTTGCATGAATATATGATCATAAAAGGTCAACAAATACACTTAACAATCATAACAACTGAGGAAAAAAACCTTTTTTCTTGGGCTGGAGACATGGCTCAGTGGTTAAGAGCCCTGGTTGCTCTTCCAGAGGACCTGGGTTTGATTCCCAGTGCCCATACTCTGGCTCACAACCATTTGTAACTCTAGTCACAAGGGATGGGACACCCTCTTCTGGCTTCTAAGGTCACTGAATGGTGCACAGACATGCATGCAGGCAAAGCACCAGACATATGAAATAACAACTTTTAAAAATATTCTTTTGTTCAGAGAATGAAAGGCTAGATGAGGGCTAGGAATGAAGCCCTGCTGTGGATCACTGTAGCATGTAGGAGGCCTGGGGCTGGGTCCCCAGCATCAAACACATGCACACTCATGTACACACTCACAACATAATGGCATGGTAAGCATGAACATGTAATGAAGCATAGTGGTTTACTACTCCAGTGATTATCTCAAAGGATAAAAATTACAAAAAAATAATTGAAATCAATGCTACTAACAAGAAACAACAGTAGAGATCCCCAAATATAGCTGGATTAGACACAAAATTTAAGACACAATCTTCTAGGTGTGGTGGTGAACCCATGTAAGACCCAGCACTTGGGCTAAGGAGTTTTTGAGATCAGTTTGAGTTAGTACTGAGAGCCCTTCTTCAAAACTAGCAAAGAAAGCGGAACATGCAGAGCATAAGGTATGTATGTTTCAAGCGACAGGAGGAGAAAGGCCTGAGAAAGACTGAGAGTAATGACATCAAAGCCAAGGAAGTGGCAGAGGTGGGGAGGTGGGGTGGACTGGGAGTGACGTGGGCTAGGTGCCCTGTGTTCGGGTGGCTGTGCTGGTGGCAGAAGCCTGTTACCTGAGCACTTGACAAGCAGTGGCAGGCAGATTAGGAGTTCAAAGTCATCCTCTGAAACACAGTGAGTTTAAGACCAATCTAAGTACATGAGACCTCGTCACAAATAAAACAAAATGAGAAAATAGAATGATTGAGATGTAAAATGAATAAATAATGGGGAAAAAAGAAAAAGAAGAAAGCAAAATACATACTCTAAGATCAAAGCTCTGCACTGACAAAAAAAGCAGATTCAACTAAGCAGGAACATAGTGATTTATGATATCAGCTCTTGGAACAGAAGCAGACTTAAGAAGAATCATGCGAGGTAGACTAAGAGCCTAACATGAGCTAAGGACTCAGCAAAATGAATTTTTCTTTGAAGGGAGAAAACTTAAGACTGAAATAAGGAAATTAATCAAAAAAGGCCTTCCATTTGATGGATAATTATAAAAGGACTCCAATAGTGGCTCGTGCGTGTAATCCTCGTACTTGGGAAACTGAGGCAGGAGGAGTGTTGTTGAATTCAAGGCCAGTGTACTATATAAAGTGAGACTCCAACAAACCACTCCTAGAAAGATGAACTACTAAAAAATTATTCATTTAGGCATATATGTGCATGCGTGCCTGCCTGCCTGCCTGCCTGTGTTTGTGCGTGTGCATGAGTGCATTTAGGTCAGAGGACACTGTGGGGCAGTAAGTTCTCTCTTTCCACCATGTGGGATCCAGGGACTGAACGTCGATCATGTCAGGCTTAGTGTGGCAAGTGCCTTTACCCGGTGGGCCATCTTGCAGGCCTGTAAAGGTAACTGTATACATGGCTTGTTTGCCTAGAAAAGGTCTCTGGAAACCTGTTTCAATCGTTGTTATGACAACATTTGCCTTTTGGTTCCAATCTCATGGGGTCATCAAACAGTCTCCCCAAAGTGACCCGCTAGCAAGTCAACTCACTCTGCAGCCTCGGATTTAAGTTCTCATGTCTATTACTGCCAACATACTTCTAGCTCTATCTCCAAGCTGTCTAGAAGGGAATCTAAATGACAGTCACATCAGTACACACTACTGTACACCTACAGCTTTATTCTATAGGTAGAAATAACAGACTGTCTCTAAGTGTTGCCATTTGGGTCTGGGTTCTATATACATCAGTGTAATTTTAAGCACGGGGCTCACTAACAGCCCCACAACGACCATAAGAATATAGGATTCATGCATACAACATACTTCAATAGTCTCCTTTTTATCTTCATGGGAATGTGGTGATCGTGGGTAGATGTCAAGAAGGTGTGGGGAGGCCTCAAAATGCAGTCTTTTGAGGTTTCTTTTAGGATCTTTATAGTGCAGTTGAGTGAAGTTGGTCCTCCATATCAAGACCTGCAGAGTCAAGAGAGTCCAAGTTACTGACTTGCATATGCAAACAACAGAACTGACCCTTTTTTTTTTTTTTTTAGTTTTTCGAGCCAGGGTTTCTCTGTGTAGCCCTGGCTGTCCTGGAACTCACTCTGTAGACCAGGCTAGCCTCGAACTCTCGAACTCAGAAATCCGCCTGCCTCTGCCTCCCAAGTGCTGGGATTAAAGGCGTGCGCGACCACTGCCCGGCCAGAACTGACTTTTAAAAAACCAAAATCCGGAACTTCCCTGAACAGTCAGCATGGCTGTGTGTGTAGAGACACACACGCCTGTCACTCTCGCCACTATTTCAAGCATGGCAGGGAGACTTAGCATTCTGAACAGCCTTTATGCCTGACTTAAAATTCCTATTTTGAGCTAGATGCGGGAGGACATGCACTTGGGAGGCAGAGGCAGGTGGGACATTGCATGTTTGAAGCCAGCCTAGTCTGCATAGTGACTTGCAGGCCAGTCAGTGATACACAGTGAGCTCCTGACTCAAAATATCCTCCAAACCCAAGCCCAAACTAAACCAAACACCCGAAAGTTCTTATTAGGTACTATTTTATAAACTCAAATATTTCTCCCTGCTTCTCACCAAAGCCACACACTATGCTTTTGACTTGACCATTCATTTTATTTAATAACCTGGCTATGAGCGACTTTTGGTCATCTCATGTAAACACAGATTTGCCTCAGTAGGCTCAATATTTGAGGAAACCAGATGTACAAACAAACTCTTAGGCACTAACTCAGGTAAAAGGACAGCGAAACTGGGCATTCAGTGTCAACTAAATGTAGTATTTAGTATAAAATACAGCAAGAGAAAATCTTTGTGGAATTCTTAAAACTATTCTAGTTCTTAAAACTATTCAACTAGAACTGTGAAAACAAACCCATCACTAAGTTAACATAAAAAACCCATCAGTAATCATTTCAACATATACAAACAAGCTATCAACCAGCGTCTCAGTAAGGCCAAAAGCCTTCTTTACATAAATCAGGTCTTGCAATCCAATCAAAGGTGTACTAACCTGCGCATCTGCACCGCCTGAAGTAAACAGCTCTCCATCCTTTGAAAATGAAACAGTAAAGACAGGTCCCTAAGACATGAGGGAGGTAAAGAGAAAAGTATTGAGAACTGCTTCCTCGGGGCCGACAGGACTGGGTGCTGCATCTGCTACCTATGCTGTGACTAGTGTCTAGTGGACACGCCCAGTGGCTAACAAGGAACAGTAGCTGAGAATTAATGGAGAGCCAACCCAGGTATGAGAGAAGGCAAACAAAAGAAGGAATGGCCCTTTTACCCTTTTAAGGAAAGTCTGCTCAGGGGTAAGCTGGTAAGAGTTTATTAAACATCTCTAGCTTCCTGCCCGGTTTTTTAACTAATTACTAATATTAACTGAACAATAAACATGGCACCGAGGCTATACAAATACAGGTCATTTGCTGCCATAACAGGCTCCATGGAGAGTTCTTCTAAAATAGGCCACAGGGAGCCAGGACACAGGAGGAGAGCTGTGAGTAAAAAGACCAGCATTGCAACCATGGGGGTGAGCAACTGGGATACCACAGAATAGCTGCAGGGCTGTGCAGAAGTTACTGACGTTCTCTGAGAGATAAAGACATTTAAAACGAACAATCCCTGAAAAGTTGGATATCCGTACTTTGTATGGGATCAGGGTACATAACCTCTCAGTCCACCAAGATACAAGAAATTATTTCTCGTCTTGAAATAGTAATATTTGTTTATTTTTAAGATGGATATACAAAGTTTTGGAGAAAACGTTTTGCTTTATTCAAGCAGACCTTGTGTTATGCTTTGAATGTGAAATGCCTCCACTGGCTTTTCTCTTTGAACACTTCACCCCTAGTTGGTAGTGCTTTCTGGAAGGCATGGGACTTCTTTTTTTTTTTTTTTTTTTTTTTAAAGATTTATTTATTTTATTATATATGAATACACTGTAGCTGTCTTCAGACACACCAGAAGAGGGCATCAGATCTCATTACAGATGGTTGTGAGTTGCTGGGATTTGAACTCAGATCCTCTGGAAGTGCAGTCAGTGCTCTTAACCACTGAGCCATCTCTCCAGCCCAAAACTTTTTTTTTGTTTTTTTTTTTTTTGAGACAGGGTTTCTCTCTGTGTCCTGGAAGTCACTCTGTAGACCAGGCTGGCCTCGAACTCAGAAATCTGCCTGCCTCTGCCTCCCAAGTGCTGGGATTAAAGGCGTGCGCCACCGCTGCCCGGGCATGGGACTTCTTGATTGGAGGCTTTCTGGAGGATTTACCTCACTATGCATGTGTTTCAGATTTATAACTTGGTCCCACTGCGGGTTCTCTCTCCTCCCTTCTCTCTCTCTTTCCTTTCTCTGTCTCTTGTCTGTCTCTCTCTGGGTCTGTGTTACTCTCTTCATCTCCCTCCCTTCCTCCCTCCTTCCCTCCCCCTCTTCTTCTTCCTCCTCTTCCTCCTCCTCCTCTCTCCTCTCTCCCTTTCCCTCTCCCTCTACCCCCCACCTTTCTCTCTCTCTTCCTGCTTCAACACAACCAATGCCTTGTTGCTGGCCTCCTGCTCATGCTCCATTGTAGGAGGAGCTAAGGTGGGAGGAGTTAGGAGAGGAAGAGGAAAAGGAAGAGGAGGAGCTCGGAGAGGAGAGGAGAGAGATCAGAGATGTAAGAGGATGGAAAGCCACGCAGGTATGGAGAGCAGTGCAGGCAACTACTTTTATTTAGGTTAGCTAATTGGGAAACAACTCTCTTTGTATGGGCATATGGTTATTGAGCTTTACCAAATATATAAGTCTTTGATTAATCTTTAAGCATTAGAGTCTCATCTTTCTACTGGTCCCGCATGGATGGTGGGATGGTCTGGGCAATGCCCTGCCTTTCGGAGACAGCATGGAAGATTGGCAGAGCCATCTCCCAAGCTGGCGTCTCCTGGGTGGCAGGGCTGGTGTTTCTAGCTGGCCATTTCTAGCTGCAGAGCACACGTGGCCTCTGGCAGAGAAACATGGCGGCTGGGCTAAGCAGAGCTGCTGCAGCTTAGATAGTTGGTTTGATCACTGGCGGCTGATTTTAAAATAATTACTTCAACACTCCATGACTTCCCTACCATGGTAGACTGAGCCCCTTCTGGAACTGTAATGGAAATAAGCCCTATCTCTCAATGGCTGCTTGTCAGGGTTTCTCATCACAGCAAACGTAACCGGGACACCCTGTTACAGACTTAGCTTGTAGCTCCATAAGCATCTTTACCTCTAGATGAGTGATCTATGTACAGTATTTTTCTAAGTGCTGCTAACGTTTTTCCTACATGTTGCTCTACCCTTTTCCTGATTATATAGTATGACTTGATATCTATCTCAGGCCTTGGCCATTGTTAGTGATCGTATTCATTTGACCTAAACCTAGGTGTCTGCGCGGGACTGAGCTGGTTGCGTTTCACCCTAGCCCTGCGGTAGAACAAGCAGAACAGACAGGCACAAAGACTACAAATCCCATTCTATTTTGAGATAAGAAGAGCTGAACTCCCCTAAAAGAAATTTCCCAGTGGCACCTAAGGCATAAGAAGAGAATTTTTTTTCTAAAAAGTTTACAAGTTTGAACCTTTACCCACAAGAGAAGAGTTTACAGACTTAAAATGTACCAATTTCCTTTCCCTTAGTTCTAAGCCCATGAAAAATAAGACAAAAAAAAAAGTAACCAAACTATCCTCTTTCTTTCCAGTAAGTTTGCTAAAACAGAATATGGCTTATCTGGAAGGGAAATGAGTGTCCTAGAAATAATATTGGAATGAGCCAGGTGCAATGGCCTCGGTACAGGTAACACTGGGTGAATCTCTGCACAAGAATTACCAGAAAAAAACCCAGCATAGGTATGAGGGGAAAAATAAGAAGTAAGTATCCACCTCCATGCAAGCAACTTAGTCTGTACTGAGACTGCAATAGTATTTTCTTACTGAATAGCTAAAGTCACTGGTCTTGAAGAGTTACAATACATAATATTTTTAAGAATTGCTTCTAGAGGTTAGAAACTTGGAAGTAAAAACAATCAAATTGCAGGAGTAGCAGCAAATGTACATTACTACTAAAAGATAACAAAGACATACAATAAATGAGCTGAATGTTAATGTGTGTCTCAATTAGGAAACAGAAACCTCAATATTGATACCGTATGTCCTTGAAGTGTGTATATGAGTCTTCCCTCTACGAGATCCAGAATCTTAACTGTTCCATCAGAAGAGGCAGTGACCAGGCTGTTACCCGAAGGATGGAAGGACAAACAGTTCACACCACAGCTGTGAACTAATTTATAGAAAATAAACACAAAATCAGAAAACGATGGCTTCTTTATGTCAAGGGACCTTTAACATAACTATAATTTGACATAATTGGCCATCTTTATGACCCCATTAATTTTTTTCAGAGAGTAATTCTTAAGTTCCAGCACGTCCTTTTCTTTGTCGGCAGCATTACCATGAAAACAAGAATCAGTCAGAGGTAGTATCTTCCCTAGCAGCAAAGTCAGTATGGTTCACCAAAGCAAGTTACGGATTCTGACGTCACATGGCATGAAGCTTTCAGTTAATGAGATGGAATTCAGCAATTCAAATGCGTCACACAGAGAGAATCTTACTGGGCACACAGCTATAAAGTTTTGGGCTATATTACCAAAATAATAATAGATTATTATTATCAGCTCATATAAGCTCTTAAATCTAGCCGTAAATTAAATTTAAAGAGCAACTGGATTAAGGAATGTCAAGTGTGGAGGCCTGTGTGAAGGACTCACTTCCTTCCAGTAGGAGGCAGTACAGCGCAATGGTTAAATGAGTCTGTGTTTGTACACTACATTGTCCCAAAGTCTTAATTGGTTCTGTCGATTGTCTTATCTTTAAAATGAAAGAACTAATGATACCTATTAGGAATAGTGTATGGATTTACTAATTTATTTGTTACACGGAAATCATGGAATACATGGAAGAAGTGATTGATATTATTTTCATGTGCAACAATGTAGTTTGAATATATAGCTAATATAAACCAAGAAAACCACTCCCATCTCTTTCAGCTTTCACACCCCACACGGAAGGAAGGAAGCTGTTTCCTCCACGTCAGTTACTCCTCTCCGTTTGGGCTGACATTAACTTCTGATTCTCACGTAGTGCAGACTCTCACATAGTGCAAACACCCACAGTAACTCTGTTTTACAGTCCTCGAGTCAGCTCTGAAGTCCCTTTAAAAATTCGAGTGGGGTGGGGGGCATGACCCGGACCCCTTTATCTATTCCTCTTCCCAGCGTGGTCACACTGAATAAATCTCATTCAGCTTTTAGCATTCTTCCTTTCTTTAATTGGGGATGTGTGGCCAGGCTGAGCTCTTAGGAGCTGCCAGGGCTAAAATTTTTACCCTAAAATCTCTCGTTACAACTTTGTCAGGCTGAACCAGGATCAAAGACGCCTTTTTGGCATCAGCCATTCAGACAAGCCAAGCCTGGATGGAGAAGAGAGCCTGGGGGTTCTACACAGCCACTGAAATCACTTTTATTCCAGGAACTTGTCTTACCTCTCCACTTTGGCTGTGTTTGCTGCTTTCTGCTTAGATTTGGTGAGGTGGAGAAAGGAGTGCTTGGCCTCTTCAGGCCCTCAATGCCAAGCCTTAAGCTCTTCCAGTCAGTGTGCCTAAGCCCTGCCCTTTCTTTTCTCTCTCAGTTTGGAGACTCCTTTGAGTTCTCTGAGTTCTTTTTGGACTAGTTTAACTTCTGATGTTCCTTGTCTTCTGAGCCACTGCGGAGTCTTGAAACCTTTTGGGGATTTGTCAGTATGACAGGGGTGGCTGAGTTCTTTACTTGTAGGAAACAGATACAAGCTATGCAGAGAAGCAGCAGAGTTTGGGATATCTCACTGTAGTTTGTATAGCGACGGCATATAAACTTTGTGCTATCTTGGAACTCTTAGGGGGTATTCTCATTTGTCTTTTGTAACTTTTGGTGGTTTGCCTAAGATTGCACAATGAACCGTGTAAACTGTTATCTTCGCTCTATATTAGAGTCTAAGATAATTGGCTCGATGGACAGTTATTGTAACAGTACAGTTAGAAATGGATTGAATGGAAGAGACGTTCTCCCTCTGGCCTGCTTTGGGGGATCAGAGACTTAATGAGGTGTCAGGTCATATGCTGTCCTGAGGTCTCATAGGGAACCACAAAGCCAATTCTTTGCTTGGAAGGACCCCAATAGTACAACCGAGAGGTGCTCACCCTTAACTACTCTTTGGGGTTGGGGCTTTCTGACACATGTCAAAGGGGACAACTAGCTCACTGATGACACTCTCGGGAAGAGTCAGTATTAAACATTACATCTTACTAGTCCAAAACTTTTGCTTAGTATCCACCCTTGCTTTGGCTATCCAGATGGGCCTCCAGTCAAATGACTATTAAGAAAACAGTGACCAAACTTCATCTGATTTTGGGTTCCTGAATATGAGTAGCAAGACTATGGCCACTTCATATCCGACACCAAACCAAAACAAAAAGACCACACACACTATGGGTGTGGGGGTGATGTCCTTTCCCTCCCACTTGCACCTGTAGTATCCAGGAGAGTTGGCCCTGACTCCTCACTGGCTGTAGAACTGGGAGAGCGGACCCTGCACCTTGCCTGGGCAACACAGTGGAGCTGGTCCTGACGGTGAAGGCACGAGGAGCCAGCCACGAGGGTGTGAAATCGTGAGAGCTGCCCCTCGCAGGCTGCAGCACTTGGGCGAGTAAGCCCTGAACGTTGACTGGGCAGCACAGTGGAGCTGGCTCTGGAAGTGTGGGTATGGGTGAGCCTGCCTCCTGTCAGCAGCAGCACTGGGTGGCCTAGCCGGAGCAGTGCTGGAGAGGTAGCCCTTGTGGTGTGGATGAGGGAGAGCTGTTGGGCTGACCAGCTCAGCAGCCACTCAGGCACAGATCTAGGCTCTGAACTGGCCTACCCTAAAATATACACATCTTTGAATGGTGGAGACCTGTGAAGGGGCCAGTCCTGCTGTTCCGAAGCTGCAGGATCGTCATGACACTGGGCGACAATGAGGTAACTGGGAGGAGTCCTGATGAGGAACCAATATTGATGGTGTCACAGAAGCCAGAAATCTCAAAGCAGACCAATGACTCACTGCAGTGAACATCTGCAAGTGAAGCTGTGTGGACAGAGGGATATTCTGTGAGACACACTGGGACACACTACAGCTTCCATGATGAGATGCTTTCTATGCTTTGTTGTTGTTGTTTTTTGGTTTTTATTTTGGGGAGGAAGCTGCAAAGGGTGGATATGAAGGGGGGGGGAGATGAGTGTGACCAGCGTGCATGATGTGACACAAAGAATCAATACACAGTTACTAAAAGAAAAAAAAAGGTCACACGCTAAAACTGCCAATGTACACAGAAATAGATGAAGATTGCTTTCTTCCTGAATCTTTGTTGAGAAAAGACTATTAAGAGTTAAAATGTTGGGCCGGGCGGTGGTGGCGCATGCCTTTAATCCCAGCACTTGGGAGGCAGAGGCAGGTGGATTTCTGAGTTTGAGGCCAGCCTGGTCTACCAGGACCAGGACAGCCAGGGCTATACAGAGAAACCCTGTCTCGAAAAACCAAAAAATAAAAAATAAAAATAAAAAATGGAATTCTATATCCAGGAAATACAAAAGAATTTAACTCATATCAATAAAAAAAGAACTATTAAAGACATAGGTATTTTACTCTATTAAGAACTAATTTTTTGGACTGGAAATGTGGTAGAGTTACGGCTCTCAGTTTAATTCTTAGTACCAAGAAAATCCAGTTACCTAACTTTGAAGAGCACTGGAAAAGGTGTTTCAAAATATAAATTTATCTAAAGGATTCCCTAAGGTCAAAAGTTAATGTACTGTTGAAAGAATAGAACCAAATCCACTGAATCGATAGCAGTAAGACTTAAAAACAAAACAGAACTATTGTTCTGCTCTTAGTAACGTTTAAAAGAAAGAACTGGAATAGAGGACAAAGATGCTCTCGTTCAGATCACTGGGCTTTCTGCTGAACACTTAAACGGTCTTAGCAAACTCAAGGTTCAAGTAAGAGGTACAGTTAAAGCCCTCAATGTGATTGCTTTACAAATTTCTATTTAAAAGCAATCCTGTTACACTTAGTACCTTATATGTCTGTGTCTGGAAGTGGAGAGGGTACAGGTTAGAATTTCATCAACATATTATATGAAAACTGCAGACTTAAAAATATGCAAAGTGACCAATACCTGTTCCTTTAAATAACAATCTGTTTGGCTTGAGCAAGTAAGCATTTTTTTTCTTTGATTAGATGCACATTGACATCAGAAGGTAAGTCTACGTGTGTTATCAGCACTGGGCCTTACATTTGTAAGCAATCTAAAATTTTGCTTTTTGCCTAAAGATTTTACTAAATCAAGAATTTCAACTTTTTGCTTCAAAAGTAGAAGAGAAACTTATATTCATGAAATGGGTAGCTGTTGTTCTAGTGGTTATGGGCTCCTTGGTATGTAGAATATGTTTATGTTCCTTGAATACATAAGCTTCCTAAACTTTTTGTTTTGTTTTGTTGAGCCAGGGTTACTCTGGATAGTCCTGGAACAGGCTCTGTAGATGAAGCTGGCCTTGAACTCACAGAGATCTGTCTGCCTCTGCCTCTGCCTCTGCCTCCCAACTGGTGGGATCAAAGGTGTGCACCACCCTCAGGCTTAGAATATCAATCTTAAGAGGACACTGTTAAGTTGAACTGTGTGTGTGTGGTCTCTAGGTGAGTACGGCAGGCCAGAGGTTGACGTCAAATGGCCAGTCTTCCTTTACCACTCTCCATGTTAGCTTTTGAAAGACAATTTTCCTCTGAACTGTGGTGTGTCATTTTGGCTAGACTGCTTAGTCACCAAGAGGCTGGGTTCTCCATCTCTGCCCATACAGAACTATGTGTGTTGCTGCACGTGGCTTTATGAGTTGTGGGGATCTGAACTCAGGTCCTCAGGCAATCCACTGAGCCATCTCCGCCATCCCTTCTAAAACGGTTAGCGATACAGTTCTTCCCAGGCTTGTATTCACGAGTTCCCAATTGCATCTTGCCTATCATTTCTATGCAAAGCCGACTAGAATGGCTCACACTGTATCTGTCAGGCAGTGGAGTAATTCCTACTAATGCCCTAGTAATGAAGAGCACAGACGATGGGCACTTCAGGGACACATCTCCAAGCAAGCCCATCTACTTTAGTTAGAAAACTTCTGTTTGCCGGGCGGTGGTGGCGCACGCCTTTAATCCCAGCACTTGGGAGGCAGAGGCAGGCGGATTTCTGAGTTCGAGAGTTCGAGGCTAGCCTGGTCTACAGAGTGAGTTCCAGGACAGCCAGGGCTACACAGAGAAACCCTGGCTCGAAAAACCAAAAAAAAAAAAAAAAAAGAAAGAAAAAAGAAAAAAAGAAAAAAAAAGAAAACTTCTGTTTATCCCTAAAAGAAAAAAATTACTTGTGTGTATGTATTTTTTAGGGCTGACTACTGGCATTAGACAATCAGTTGGTGTGCTCTTTCCTGGGGGAGACTATTTCTTCCGCTCTCGAATTCCTTATTGCCTGAAGTTCTTTGTGTAGCTTTCCTTCATGTCAGGGTGTCTGTTGGAGTCATATTTGTTCAGGTCGTGTTTAGGCTGCCATGTTGGTGAGATTCATGGGAAGTTTCCAGGAGACACAATCTCACAGCAAACTCCCCGATCCTGAGAGTCTGAATCTTTCCACTCCCTCGTCTGCAGTGTTCCCTGAGCCTTAGGAGAGGAGTTGTGTTGTATACGTACAGGTAACATTATACAGACTGAGCAGGTTGTGTTTATAATTTAGGAACAAACACACAAGTCATGGATTTAAAAGACGGAAAGAGTGGGGTGGGGTGGCAATTTCATGGAAAAGTTTGGGCTTGGAGGCAGGGAAGGGAAGGGGAAATTAATGTAACTTTATTATAATCTCAAAAAATGATTTATAGAACAGACAAAATTAAATGGAACTTGTATATAAGAGTAGCCTGTAATGGATAAACTACACCATTGTTTCAATGGAAACAAACGTAAATGTATTTCTGAGAGGAGAATTAGGGTGCCTGGATGACCATAATGCTATCAATCAAGATACTGAATGCAATGAAATTATTAAGGCCATTTTGGCAGTTTTTGACTCCCTTTTTTATAAAAAGATTTATTTATTTATTTATTCATTTATTTATCTATGTGTAAAGTGTTATACTTGTATGCATGTGAGGGGCAGGATGTCAGACTCGGATACTAGGTCCACTGGGATCTAGTTTTGATGCCATGTGGGTGTTGGGACCTGGACCCAGGTCCTCCAGAAGATCAGCAAGTGCTCTTAACCACTGAGCCATGGCTCCAGCCTCAGTTTTTCAGCTTCTTTTTTTTTTTTTTTTTTTTTCGAGACAGGGTTTCTCTGTGTAGCCCTGGCTGTCCTGGAACTCACTCGGTAGACCAGGCTGGCCTCGAACTCAGAAATCTACCTGTCTCTGCCTCCCAAGTGCTGGGATTAAAGGCGTGCACCACCACTGCCCGGCAGTTTTTCAGCTTCTTGAGGAATTCTAAATATGCATGTTCTAAGACTTTTGGTTCCCTCAGTTTTGATCCTTGCCCAGTGCACTTAGAATCAAACTCAAGAAAAATAACCCCAATGTGTACTTATTTTTGAATTCTATATCTCTTTAAATATTTACTCTTGTTGGTAGTGATTTAGATTTTCCTTGTAAGTTCTTTGATTGTTATCTGATAATATTTTGCATAAATACAATTTTTAATAAAATGCCTTAAGCAATTTCAAGATACTAGGATATCACCCACAGGACAGATAGAATAAAACTTAAGAATGTGTTCCACCTAATGATCTTCTATGCTTGAATCTGTCCCCAAAGAGGAAGGGTGACATTTAGAGAGTCTTCTTGATACTGGCTCCTTGTCATATGCCATCTTTCCTCTCTCACCTGAAACAGGGTCAGATCAGATCAATGGGGACAGCTCTCATTCCAGTGACTAGGGACAGTTAAGACCAATTACTAAACGATTACTCAGTTATGCCTTCAGAGAAAGTGGTTCATAGACAAAGGGGGATGTCTTCAGAGTCAAAAGAAAGTTATGACAAGCATGGTGGTACATACTTATAGTCCTAGCACTGGGGATGGCAAAGCAGGAGGGTCATGGTTGGGGCTAGCCTGGACTATACACAAAGACCTCTCAACGTAAGCAACCAAAATTAAGTCACTTGTATGAGCCTTTCCAAAAGCAACTAAAGAAGGGATTACAGAGAAGTGGGTCTTGTGCCTGGTTGCTTGACATCATCTCCCTCCCACTAGAGTCCATCCTTAGTAATCCATACTCAGAGCGACCAGCAGGGAAGAGACTCCCCATAGAATTGATTTAATTAGATTTATTTGGCTTTGGATCCTAGCATTTGACTTTATATTGGGATTTCAACGTTTAGCCTCAAGCATCTGGCTCATTTCACGTAGATGCCTGAGTCATTACAGCTTGTTCTTCTCTCAAGCGCTAGTTTATTACTGAGCTAAGAAAACCTACAAAGCCAGATTGGCAGACACACTAATGCCCACAAGGTTGAGCAATACCTAGACACGAGGAAAAACTCAAATGGGCACTTAGAAGCTGATTTTGCTACAACGTCCATGCCTTGTTTGAGCCACAAGCAACTGAAAGCAGGAGAATTTATGTCTGTATGTCTTCTTGACTATGATTAAAAACACACACATGAACACATACATGTCCTAAACCTATAGTCACCTTAGATCCCTGGAAAAACAAAAGCTCTACGGACAGACCAGTTCCCCAGATGCAGATAAGTACCATGAAGGTAGGCTTTGCAATGGGGCAGAAATTATCTGAGCGTGGCAAGCAGACTCATCGCTCAGCCGTGGAATAAAAAGGACTTTCCCAACCTACTTTATGAAATCAGAACCAAGGCAGTGACAAGAAGACCTTGGGCAGGACTGCTTAAATGTGCACACCTGCTTGCATCCTGCCTCACTGCATCCTCTACTTAAGGTCTGAAAGCTCTTGTCAGTACGCCAAGACAGATGTGGGGATAACTGGTCCTTTATCTGTTTCACTCTCCAACATGGCCACACTGAATACATTTGCTCTCTCTGCTTTTCATTAAGATGGAAAAGAAAATAAGTCCTTCTACCTTTCCTTCTCGTCTTGTTTCTTCTGTTGACGGAGTCAACTACTCTGCTCTCTAGCCAGGTCACGGGCAGCCTAAGACCCCCACGTAGAGACCTAAACCAAACCATAAGCCTTTCCCATAGTAGCCTTTTGACAGTGAAACTCCCTCTGGTTAGGGGAACTGTTACCTTGATAGTGCTGGAGTAATTTGTTCATTCTTATATCCCACATTCTCACAGCGTGATCAGAACCTGCTGAAGCTATGCATGTACCATTAGGGTTAAAGTCCACAAAATTTGCAAATCTAGGAAAAAAAATATGATGGCTTGACATTTCAATCTCTTTACCTTTGTTTTAAAGGTTGAATTGTTTATAATGAAATATATCCTAGTTGAAAAAAAACCCATATAAATATACAGAGAGAATGGACTTACCCTACAGAGTCTGAGAAGTTATTGACACACTGCTTATTGGTAGTGTCCCAAATTTTAATAGTTTTATCCTCACTACATGACACGATCAATCTTCCATCAGGTGAAAATCTAGAAAGCAGAAGATTTCAAATGAGAGCAGTTTTACCACATGCCTCTGTACCACACACAAGTCAGGCTAAACCAGGCCACCGTCAGCACGCAGTATGAACTACGTAGTTAACACAGGCAGCTAATACCTTTGCAGCTGCATATCACCATGACAAACATTGGAGAGCCTTGAAAGGCAAAGCATGTTACATAAACTATGTTCCTTTCTTCTGTTTCTGTTTCTATTAAATAATTTAGTTTTGTGGCTTTCCTGGAGGGTTTTGATTCAACTCTGCACTCCTTCCAAGCTAAATACCTTGTATTTTAAAAAGACCTCTCTATTTCTTGCTTATTTTTTTAATTTTCAATTTTTATTTTCTACCATTATCTAAGAGATTTATTTCTACCAAACCCCCAGGAGATTTTTTTCCCTACTCATCCCACCAACCTGGCAGTGGAACTTTTTTGTTTTTGCTTTTTTCCCAGACTGGTGGGTTGAAAAAAAGTTTATGAGCATCGACCTAATTCCCAAGGCCAGAGTCTTCCTGGATGCAGACTAAAAGCAGGACAAGTCATTCAGAACAGCTGTTCTTTCCTGCTTTAGCCTATCACCAGAGTGCCCAACCAAGACAGAGAGAGGGGGTGGGGTGGGGCAGACACCCTGTCTATTGCTTCTCGTACAACTGATTTCCACATTTATTCTTTTTTGGTAATGTTAATTGCCTTTCAAAGTCAGAAGAGCCAAAAACCAAACAGAAAATGAAGTTTCGATAGGAAACTCCAGACAGCTTTATTTTACTAGTTATATTGCAGGAGCAAAGACCAGAAAGGACAAAATTAGCCCACTGACTGGTGATTATGAGTGTGTTTATGTGAAGTTTCCCTGCAGCCCGGAATCCAGATTTCTGTTGAGTTTTCAGTTTTGTGTAGAATGTAATTAAATGTTTTACGTTGTTTTCTCTGCACCCCTAACTTATTTTTTTGCCTGTGTGTATGTCTGTGAGAAGGTGTCAGATCTCCTGGAACTGGAGTTATAGACAGTTCTGAGCTGCCATGTAGGTGCTAGGAATTGAACCCAGGTCCTCTGGAAGAGCAGCCAGTGCTCTTAACTGCTGAGCCATCTCTCCAGCCCCCTAACTTATTATTGAAACCTAGAAGTGACTCTCCATGACTGAAAGTTGACTACTACATTTCTCAATTCAGCATGTACAAACAAAAAACATACAGAAATGTCATTAACTCTGTGTGAACTCTTAGAGTGCAGGAAAATCCTTCAAGAAGAAAATCTTCCATTCTTTGTAATTTTCTATGATTTTAAGACAACAAGTAATATTTTACTAATTTTTTTCCTCTAGAAAAAATACATGAGGAGTATTCAGTTATGTAGAACAGTATAAATAGTACAAACCGAAATTACAAAACTAAAAAAACCAAACCAAACCAAACCAAAAACATCAACCTCCCCAAACCGCTAAGAGCTCCCAAAATGCAACCCCCCACCCCACAAATGTATTTGTTATGGACGTGGGAGAAAAAACTTACTCATTATCTCCATGAAAATTAACTTCAAAATAAATAGAGACTTGCAAGGAATCAATTTACATTGCTTTCTCCTCCCCCTGCTGCTGAGAGAGGATCTTACTATGTATCCTGGCTGCTGTAGAACTCTACATAGACCAGGCTGGCCTTGAATTCCCAGAGATCGACCTGTCTCTGTCCCTAGAACGCTGGAACTAACGATATGCATCACACCCAGCTTCTGTGTTTCTTAATAAGCCTAATTTTTGAAAAATTACTTAATATAAAAATCTTAAGTAACAAAAATATTTTTAAGAGATGAAGCTATTTCTAACATTTGGAGGAAGTAATGATAAAACATTTAGTCAACTGGAATTGCAATTACAAATTATTGTATTACTATTATTACTATTATTATTATTGCAGTGCTGGAAGTCAAACCCTGGGCTTTGTGTATGCTGAACAGGCACTCTCACTTAACTATCTCTTGTTTGTGTTATTGATCAAACCCACCACTATTATCACAATATTCCCTTACCAATATTTATTGAGCCCATATTTCATAGAATGGTTTTTAGCACCTCACTTATGGAAACTAATTAAATATTTATAACAATCCCATATACAGATATTATTGCTTGCCCCCACATGCAGAGAGTAAGCTGTGGCACACAAAAGCATATGGTGGCTTGAATGGGAAATTTGAAATTTCAAAATTAAAAAGTCAGATTCACAGTCTCATGTATTTATTTGATCACCAGTTGGTGGTGCTGCTTAGGGATGTTTAGTAGGTATGGGCTTGTTGGAGGTAGGCTTTGAGAGCTTAAAGGCTCACGCCATTTCCAATTGGCTTTCTCTGCTTCAGCTCGTTCAAATGTGAGCTCTCAGTTTGCTGCTGTTGCTGCCACATCTTTTGCCTGCTGCAAAGCCTCCCTGCCATCATGGGCTCTGAACACTATGCACCTGTAAGTCCAACCTCCTTCTGTAAATAGCCTTGGTCATGATATTTTTACCACAAAACAGAAAAGTAACTAATACAGAATTTGGTACCAGGAGTAGGGTATCAATGTTTACAACTTGACCATGTTGACTTTTTGGAGGAATATTAAAAGGTTCTGGAACTTTGGACTAGCAATGTGCTTGAATCTGTAAGCAGAGCCTAACAGGCCATCCTAGCAGGAGCTGGCTAGCTAATGAGTTCCAGGGATCCCTCCTGGCTCCTCATATTCAGTGGCAGGATTACAAGTGTGCATATGGCTTTTACACGGGGGTGGGAATCAAACTCAGGTCACACTCATACTTGTATATCAAGCACTATACTACACTGAGTGATCTTCTGGTCCTACCTGAAAATTTTAAAATGAAAGAATAACATAAGGCAGTGTTCTTGTGATATAGACCATCTTTTTACTAAATATCTATGTTGGGGGGGTTAGGGGCAAAAGTAGAAGGAAGGGGATGAAGTTTAGATTTGATCAAAGCACATTACATGCATACAGGAAACCTCAATAAAAATGAATACAAAGAAAAATTGCACATACTGCCATTGGTTGCTCCTAGCAGTTAAGTAAAACAATCATCGTCTCTCTCCTTGTGATGCTTCTGGAGGAGGACAATCACTCCTGGAGTGACTCAAAGATTGACAGAATATCTGCTAGTACCCAGCAGTGGGCTGCCCAGGACAGCAGGGAAGTAGCTTGAGGTGAGACAGGAGTTCTCTCCTGAAGCTTTCCCTAATGACAGAACTAGAGATATTGGCATCAGGGATATTTTTTTTGACAACAACAACAACAACAACAAGAAAACAATTATGCCACCAGAAGCAGGGAAGACATGGGATTTAAAGAGACATGTCAGTAAGAAAAAGGTTCTCTTCAGTAGCAAAACCTCCCCCTGAGCAGGAGGCTCAGTCCTGGGAATAACTTCCTGACACTAAAGCTGTGAAGGGGCCGTGCACCTCAGGTTAGTGGAAGGGGCAGGTGGAGGCTGGGAAGCAGGCGCTGTGGGGAAGGAGGCTCTCTTTCCCCTCCCCTCTCACCATGATTCTGAACATGCATCTCTCTTGAGGCTGGATGTGGGCATGTTGATTTGGACATGAATTAGAGACATCAAAAAAAAAAAAAAAAGCACCCAAGAGACAGGTTTCTCTTTGTCTTGACTTTTACGAGGAAAAGCTGACTTTTATTGTCAAGATTCAAACAATATTTAGCAGGACTGTTAATTTTTAAAATGTTAGGAGTATCTAAAGTTTATACTGAGAACTAACAGAGTGCTGATTCTCAGTTTAGTTCCACCCAAGCACCTTTTATGACTCCAGGGATTAGTCAGTGGTGACTAATGAGTTCCCTTGCAGCGCCTGACAAATCCACCCCAAATTACTCCTGAATCCCTTCAGGATCCCTGGCACACACAAACAATGAAGACATTTAAAAACTTTGTTTTTTTTTTCAAGAAAAACTGTTTTACAGGTCTTTGCAAGTATCCCCAATGAAATAACAAGCGCTCTGTAACTTGGAATCTGTGGAGTTTCCAAATGATATAAAGTTGTATGTCTGCGTTCATACGCGAGTGTTCTTTTCCTCTGGATTCTTTCTTTCTTATTTCGGTAGGGGTGGAGACACAATGCATTCTGGACAAGTACATGATCACTGAGTTAATAGCCATGGCCTTTTCTTATTAGTTCATATATATGTGTGTGTGTATCTATGTGTGTATGTGTGTGTGTATATGTATGAATGTATATATATGTGTGTGTATGTGTGTGTGTATATATGTATATGTATGAATGTATATTTTTATGTGTGTGTATGTATATGTATGTATGAATGTATATATATGTGTATGTGTGTGTATATGTATGTATGAATGTATATATATATGTGTGTGTGTATGTATGTGTGTGTGTATATATGTATATGTATGTATGAATGTGTATATATATATATGTGTGTGTGTGTATGTATGTGTGTGTGTGTGTATATATATATATGTATGTATGAATGTGTATATATATATATATATGTGTGTGTGTGTGTGTGTGTGTGTATTTAATAAAACCACACTCTCAACATTTACTGCTCAACCATCAACCTATGTGGGGGTTCTGTTTCTTGATCGGTAAGCAACATATCCCTAGCAGGAGTAGGAGAAGGATGTCACTCAAAATAACGCAATGCTCATTACAAGCCTGATTCCAGGGTAAATTCCATGTTTCCTCCACGACACTCCACCCCACCAGCCCCAGCCCCCACCCCAGCTATGTAACCCCATGAGATTCACTACACATGGGATACAGTTTTCTCATGATGTAGTGAGTTTAGATTACAATGAGAAACAAAGAAAACCTTTATGTTTCCTTAAGTGGTAAGAAGAGAAGCCATCTGTTGACTATATTAGTAGAATTCATCCCTGAATGAACTATTGAGAAACAGAAGCCAAGCGAAGCCGGTATAAAGAGATGGCATGTGGCATCAAACGGTAATTAATTGTTAAGTCATTTTACC